CCCCAAAACCCCAAAACCCCAAAACCCCAAAACCCCGAATAAATTGGAAATTATTGAAATAAAAATAAAATGGAAAGCTTATCTCAACCTGAAGAAAGATGTGGCAGTATATTAGGGTTAGTCTGGCTTTCCTTGAACCCACTTAAAAATTTTGAGTGATTACTGAAGCGCATAAAATTATACCAAGAATGGTAGCAGCTTGTTCATAATTTATTTATTTATTTATTTATCTCCTTTTAAGCACTGTTCACAGGTTTATAAGAATATAGTTGTATAAATAATTTCCAAAATATATTAATTACCATTTTGCCAGAATTTAAAAATTATAAATAATTAGTGATGGTACCAAGATATACTAAATCATGAGCATAACAAAATGATTAAGAGTTTAATTTCATTTGTAAATAAAAATTAAGAGTATCAAACAAAGATGCAATATGGTTATAAAACTAATTCGCACTCATTGAAATTTAGAGGGACTCTAAAATATTAACTGTTTTTAGAATAATGAAAATGTTTTGTAAATTAACAATTTGTTCAGAATCGCATGGTATAGCTCTGAGTGTGAACTTTTAGATATAGCACCTCACATTTTCTTGTTGACCTCTTCCTTACTCCTCGCTGAATTCAATTCAGCATAAAGCCATTATAAAAATGTATACTCTATTCTCTGTAGCTTAGAGGTAAAGAAGCTATTTTATGATTAATTCCACGTGTTATAATACTTTTCTATCTCGTACATTAAGCTCTTCAACAAGTTTTACAGTGAATTTTGTAAAATAACTTTTACTTAGCAACCCATTATTTCCGACTTCATCAGTAATCTATCATTTAAAAACTGAGAATATGCTGATCTCGCTTTAAACCATCCATATTTTTTCTAAATTTTAATAATTGCTGTAGAAAAACTGATTTCTTACATTACCAGCTAAATTTATTTAAAATCTAAAAGTTGCTAATCAATCTGTTTTCAAAGATTCATAATAAAGGAAAACTAAAATTCTGCTAAGATAGTTTCTATTAACATTTTTATTAAGACACAGGACTTGTTCTTTTTATGATAAACCATATTCCCAAATTCTGATGAAATCCTAACAAAATATTTTGTATTCTGATGAACATGCTTACCTAACTAATTTGATAGCCAAGAGAAATTAATCCTAGGACAGAGCAAAGAAATAAATGAAGGTATCAGAAAAACGTTCTGAGATAGACTTTATTCAATCCAGGGAGGTTTTAACGACTCTGATTCTGACATCGAACTCTTAGATTTGTTGACCTATAAAGAGTTTCATTTTGAGACTGAAAGAGAGCTAAACTTTATGAAGAAAATGGACTTTTTCAGGCTCTTTCATACAAATGAATTGTCTTTGAGCTGAATGAATCAGAAGAAGTGTATCCTTAGCTTTATCAAATTCTTATTCCCTTTAAAAGTGAATAGGTTTTGATTGAGTAATGGTTCCTTTCAACTTAAATCAATAGCTGTTTATTTGAACAAAATCACGAGAATAAGCTCAAGAGTGCTTGAAGAGATATCCTTTAGAAGGTTTAATATCAATCATCAACAACTGAGAAAAATTCTGGTTGCTTTCAAACTAACAAAAGAGCTTAAATTTATTGATTGAAGAATATCAGTTTTAAAAATTCTTAAATTTTCAGATTCTTTAAAGAACTCAGAAATTATGAAACTTGATTTTTCACAATGAGGAACTTTGATCAGAAGAGATTGGAATGACTATCCTCTTATATTTCTAAATTTGATTCAAGGGTTGTCTACATCTCTTCATTTAAAACTCAGCCTCAGTGAAATAACAGTTAATAGTACTGGAATTCAAGAAAGCAATGCAAGAGAGATTCTTGATGCCAATGGATTCACAAATGTCAAACTTGCAATATAATCATTAAATTGCATTCAATTCATTACCTCTTTCCTGGGGTTTTGGGGTTTTGGGGTTTTGGGG